GGGCGTGACAGCATTATCTTTAGATGCTAGAATGGGGAGCACCGCACGCTAATGGATGTATATTACATCCCATAGCTGCGTTCCAGCATCATCAGCATTGGTCAGCTGGATGAGCGCGGTAGCGAGGTACTGATCAAGGACGGAGTCCTTAGGATCAGGGATCGGGAGCAGCGACTTCTTGCTAAGGTGAAGAGGTCCCTGAACCGGTTGTACCCGCTCGACCTAAAGGTAGAGCAGCCGATGTGCCTGGCGGCAAGGCATTCTGAGGAACCGTGGATGTGGCATGCCCGGTTCGGACATCTCAGCTTCGACATGCTTGGTCGGCTGGAGAAGATGGTCTGAGGGCTACCCCACATCAATTACGGAGGCGAGCTGTGTGACAGTTGCCTGGCCGAGAAGCAAATGAGGCTATCATTCCTAAAGGCGGTCAAGTATCGTGCGAAGGACGCTCTCGAGCTCGTTCATGGCGACCTCTGCGGGCCGATCACGCCTGCTACAAATGGTGGTCGGTGGTACTTCCTCCTACTCATGGATGATTGTAGTCGCTACATGTGGCTGCAACTCCTGATGACCAAGGACGAAGTGGCGGCGGTGATCAAGAAGTTCAAGACGCGCGTGGAGGCCGAGAGCGGTAAGAAGCTCCGAGTGCTGAGGACTGATCGCGGCGGCGAATTCACTTCGGTGGAGTTTGCTGCGTACTGCGCGGATCAGGGTGTGGGGCAACACCACACCGCACCGTACTCGCCACAATAGAATGGCATGGTGGAGAGACGGAACCAGATGGTGGTTGGCATGGCCCGATCCATGATGAAGGCCAAAGGCATGCCGACAAGGTTACGGGAGAGGCGGTGACCACGGCGGTGTTCATCCTCAACCGCTCTTCAACCAAGGCCCTGACGGGCAAGACGCCGTTCGAAGCTTGGTATGGGCGCAAGCCGAGCGTGTCCTTCCTCCGGACATTCGGCTGCATCGGCCACGTTAGGAAGACGAAGCCGAACCTCACCAAGCTGGAGGACAAGAGCACACCGATGGTGTTCCTGGGCTACGCGGAGGGTACCAAGGCGTACCGGTTCTACGACCCACGCGGAGATAAGGTGCTTGTCTCTCGCGACATCGTGTTCGACGAGGAGGTAGCTTGGGACTGGAGCAGTCCGAGCACAAGGGAAGCTGGCAGCTTCACCAACACCTTTATCGTCGAGCACTTGGTCATCCACGATGGTGGAGACGCTGGGGAAGAGGTGCCGAGCACTCCGGCGGTAGAGCCGAGCACTCCTGGGGCAGTGCCGACCACTTCGGGAGGGATGCCGAGCACGCCAGGAGTGGTGCTAGGAGGTTCTGTAGTGGTGGCGGCCACTATAGGACGGGCGCCAAGCACTCCCATGGTGGAGCCAAGACGTCTTGCAGTGGTGCCAACCACTCCAAGACTGAGGCTAGGCACTCCTACAGTGTGGCCAAACACTGCAAGAGTTATGATGAGCTGTCTAGAAGTAGTGTCGAGCACTCCAGGTGCTGTGCCAAGCACTCCAGCGGAATAGGGAACTCCATCGACGCCGATCGAGTTCGTCTCACCCCCAAGTGACATCACTGAGTTCGTGGACGCCTACCACGAAGGTGAGGAGGTGCGGTTTCATAAGCTGGATGACATCATTAGTGGCACAGGTCCCTCAGGTCTGGTAGGCAGGCTGCTCAATGACGCAGAGCTGCTACTCGTCAGTGTAGAGGAACCACCCACGTTCGCGCTAGCCGAGCACGATGGAAACTAGCGACGGGTGATGCTGGAGGAGATGAAGGCGATCGAGGAAAACGAGGCTTGGCAGCTCATCGATCCACCCCCAGGATGCCGTCCGATCAGCATGAAGTGGGTGTACAAGGTCAAGCGAGACGAGCTCGGCGCCATTGTCAAGCACAAGGCATGTCTCGTCGCCCGAGGCTTTGTTCAGCACGAAGGCATAGACTTCGAGGAGGTTTTTGCGCCAGTAGCGCGCATGGAGTCGGTCTGTTTGCTACTAGCTTTGGCAGCAGCAAAGGACTGGCGTGTCCATCACTTGGACGTTAAATCGGCCTTCCTCAACGGCGAATTGACGGAGATGGTCTTCGTCAGGCAACCTCCAGGTTTCGCTGTCAAGGGAGAGGAGCACAGGATGCTCCGACTGCGCAAGGCGCTCTACGGGCTGCGGCAGGCCCCTCGAGCATGGAATGCCAAGCTTGATGCCACGCTGGGCGAGCTTGGATTTCAAAGGTGGGCAACCAAGCACGCGCACTCTACATGTGCGCGGGGAAGGAGGAGCTCATCGTCGGTGTGTGTGTGGATGACTTAATCGTCACCGGCGCGCGCACGGAGGATATCAATAGCTTAAAGCGCGAGATGGTGGCTCGTTTTTGAATGAGCGATCTCGGCGCACTCTCCTACTACCTCGGCATTGAGGTGAGACAGGGGAAGGAGGAACTCATGCTCGGTCAAAGTGCATATGCCTCCAAGCTGTTGGAGAGGAGAGGCATGGTGGAGTGCAAGCCATGCGTGACTCCGATGGAGGAGCGGCTGAAGCTGACGAAGGCCACACCGCGACGAAGGTGGATGCGACACTCTACTGGAGCATCGTCGATGGTCTACGCTACCTAGTCCACATGAGGCCGGACATTGCGTTCGCCATGGGCTACATTAGTCGCTTCATGGAGGATCCCAGAGAGGATCACTGGGCTGCGGTGAAGCGGCTACTGTGCTACGTCAAGGGGACGGTGGATCATGGGATCATCTTCCCAAAAACCGGTAGGAGTAGGCTGCAGCTCAGTGTGTTCAGTGATGCAGACATGGCGGGGGACATCGACGACGACGGAGCACCTCTGGCTTGCTCGTCTTCCTCGGGTCGGCCCCAATTTCATGGCTGTCGCTGAAATAGAAGGTGGTGGCGCTATCTACATGCGATATAGAGTACGTAGCGGCGTGCCAAGTTGTGTGGCTACGTTGGCTGCTGGACGAGCTAACCGGCGTGGAAGCTCACCCACCAGCACTGATGGTGGACAACCAGCCCGCCATTGCCCTCGCGAAGAATCTGGTCCTGCATGACCGGAGTAAACACATCGACATAAAGTTCCACTTCCTCAGGGACTGTGTCGATGGAGGGCAGATCGTCATCGAGTTCATCGAAACTGGTCGGCAACTCGCAGACGTCCTCACCAAGCCGCTCGGACGTCTTCGACTCACGGAGCTAAAGGAGATGATCGGCATGGAGGGGGTACAAGGGTTAGCAGTAAGATGAGGGGAAGATTATTAGATAATCTACTGTTACCTTGTGTGAACACAGCAAGGGAAGGCGGCGCCGAAAGACCCCCTGCTGTGATACTGTAGCCGCTGCAGGTGCAGGCGCCGCACGGCTCACCTGCAACACTGTAGGCACATGTAGTGGCCGGCACAGAGTCAGTCCTGTATGTTATCTAGTTACTGTTACAGCATGTGCGTTGTACTAGTACTAGATGGATAGAGTTGTATAAATAGACTACCACGGAAACTTAGTAAAAAGAGTTCAGATATGCCATCTCCCAGATAGGGCTTCGGCCAACGCTGGTGTCTTGTACTGTATGTGCATGCTCTATTCTCCTTCTTCTTCAAGCTCTAGCCATAGTGCGTGGGGACGGATAAAGCTTGTTCGTGCTCGGCAACACTAGCGGGTGCTCGGCAAGACTGCTGAGTGGTTTACTCATCTGAGCCGGTGATCCTGTGGGCCAATAAGGACCAGGAGTATGCATGAATATATAAAAGCTAGCTAACTAGATATACATATTCCCTGAGCTTCTTTATTCTGTGAGTATGTGGGCGCCGGTTCATGCTGTATCATCCAACGGATATCAACATAAAGAGGCGGCCGCCGTGTCTCCTTCTTTTCACACGTCACTTTTCACAAATACAATAATGCAGAAAAATGGTGAAAATGGCAGCTAGATAGCTAGCACTATATGTTCATGCATGCACTACTATATATTGAATTCCAAGGACTCTCAGGCTTTCAGTTTCAGCAGATGCCTACACTTATGTGAAAAAGTACATACACATTAGGCTTGAAGCTGGTATCTTCACATCGTAGCTCACTAATTCATGAGCTTTTTGGTTCATTGCCAGGCAACACCGTCTGTCTAGACAGCATTCTAAAGCATCCGATGATTTTGGTTGTCTGAAGCTGAGTTCGCTGTCTGGCCAACGACCTGCACCTGCCGCCGGTGTGCGATCTAAACAGACTTTTAGAGCATGCTCAAACCGACGGCAGGCTGAGGATGCAAGAGATGACCTAGAAGATGAGACCAATTAAAAGCTTTCTTCAAATAAGTAAAAGATACTTCTACTGTTCTGCACTGCATACCTTAATATCTTCTCTTTCCATTTCAAATGATTTAAATGCATGGGTGGTCCATCAACTAGCGCTCTAGTTTCACTTAGGTCCATCAACTCTAAAAGTGGGTTTTTGGTCTATAATCTTTGTTAGTGGCGCATTCCTAGCCCATACCCCCTTGTTTCAATTTTTTAACCGACGTGGTTGTCCATCATGGTGTCCAAGTTGGATTTGGCGGGAGAGCGTCGGCCGCCCAGTCCATGCTGCTGGCCTCGGGGAGTCCCAGCTTCTTGAGCACCTCCCGTCGTTGTCGACGTCGAAGATCTTGAACGCCTCCCGCATCTCCTGCTCGTCCTCCTCGCTGCCCTTGCCGCCGTCCGCCCCGGCGGCGGTGGCGGCGTCCTACTGGTCCGCGAGCGCGCCGAAGAAGGCGTCCCCGAGCGCACGGTGGAGCTTGTCGAAGTCCTCGAAGCGGAGGCCCATGGCGCCGTCGGGCACGTAGGCGCCACAGTGGCGGCCAGGCCAGCGCGGTCAGCGTCCAGGCCCAGCGCGTCCAGCGCCTGCGCCAGCTCATCCACCGTGATCTCGCCGTCCCCGTTGCGGTCGAACAGGTCAAACACGCGATGAAGGCGCACCGCGTTCAGGCTCCCGTTGCGGAGCCGGAACGACGCCGACGGCATGAACCTCACCTGGTTCGCCAAGCAAGCCGTCACCACGGCCTTCCTGGGCTGCCTCGGCGACCTCCAGCTGTCCGCCGACACGCTCGGCTACAACTTCGCCAACGTCACCGGCTTCGCCGTCCTCAGCGGCCTCTGCGGCGCCATGGAGCCCATTTGCGGCCAGGCGCACGGCGCTAGCAACGTCTCCCTACTGCACAGGACGCTGCTCAGGGCCACGCTCATGCTCCTCGCCGCCTCCGTACCCATTGCGCTCCTCTAGACGCGCGTCGACGCTGTCCTGCTGCGGTTCGGCCAGCAGCCCAACATCGCGGACACGACCAGGACCTACGTGCTCTGCCTCCTCCCGGACCTCACCGTCACCTCCATGCTCAACCCGCTCAAGGCCTACCTCAGTGCGCAGGAGGTGACGCTGCCCCCGTTGTTCGCCGCCGCGCTGGCGCTAGCGCTCCACATCCCGCTCACCGTGTCGCTCTCTGCCAGGATGGGTGTTCGGGGCGTGGCCGCGGCTGTCTAGCTCAGTGACCTCACCTTGGCGCTCATGCTCGCTGCCTACGTGCTCGCCCACGAGCTCCGCCGGCCAACCAAGCGGCAGCAGCAGTAGACGAAGCTAGCAACGGCGGGCGACTGGCTGCTGCTCCTCCGTCTGACCGTCCCGTGCTGCCTAAACAGCCAACGCTGTCCTCGCGCTCCTCCCGAAATAAAAGAAGCGATTTTGACACCACACAAATTAAAGGAGAGAAGAGAACGCAGGGCAGCCAGAGCATGGCTCCGCTGAAGCACACCAGCAGGGGCAAGCGAGAGAATCTGTACGCCGAGGTTGACCTCGAGCTTGAAGGATGGACACGAACCAGGGCGTGGTGGCGGTGGTGAAGCCGGCGTTGGCGAAGGGGACGTCGTCGGCGTCATTCCGGCTCCGCAACGAGAACCTGAACGCGGTGCGCCTCCGCCACGTGTTCGACCTGTTCGACCGCAATGGGGACGGCGAGATCACGGTGGGCAAGCTGGCGCAGGCGCTGGACACGCTGGGCCTGGACACCGACCATGCCGGCCTAGCCGCCTCCGTCGGCGCCTACGTGCTCGACGGCGCCGCGGGTCTCCGCTTCGAGGACTTCGACAAGCTCCACCGCGCGCTCAGGGACGACTTCTTCGGCGCGCTCGCGGACTAGCATGACGACGCTGCTGCCGCCGGGGCGGATGGCGGCAAGGGCGGCGAGGAGGACGAGCAGGAGATGCAGGAGGCGTTCAAGGTCTTCGATGTCGATGGCGACGACTTCATCTCCGCCACTGAGCTGCAGGAGGTGCTCAAGAAGCTGGGACTCCCCGAGGCCAGCAGCATGGACTGGGCGGCCGACCCTCTCCCGCCAAATCCAACCTGGATGCCACGATGGACAACCACGTTGGTTAAAAAATTGAAACAAAGGGGTATGGGCTAGGAATGCGCCACTAACAAAGATTATGGATCCAAAAACCCACTTTCAGAGTTGATGGATCTAAGTGAAACTAGAGCGCAAGTTGATGGACCACCCATGCATTTAACTCATTTCAAATTATATGACGTTTTTGACTTTTGTAGATACGTAGTTTTTACTATACACTAAGAAATACTTAATGTCTAGATATATAGTAAAATAGATGTATGTAGAAAAACCAACATGTCTTATAATTTGGAATGGAGAGGGTACGATGGTATGATACGACAAATGTTAAGGTTCAATTATGTCACTGCTGAGGGAGAAAAACATATGTATGTGTCGATGTTTGACCACCGATAGCCTGCCACGGGGGTCCCCGGGGCAGTATTGTTCGGGCTTCAGCGTATGCAGAACTCGACGGTGAACGCAAGAGACAGTCGATTTATCCTGGTTCAGGCCCTCGATTGTGGTCGAGTAATAGCCCAACGTCCAGTCGGCGTTAGCCTTTGCGTTGGATTGATGGTGTTGTAGAAATCGTGATCTCCCGTCTCTAGGAACCCTGCCCTCCTTTATATAGTCAGAAGGTCAGAATCCTAGGGGTTTACAATGAGAGTTCTTAGTAGGATTACAGGATAATACTACTACTAAGATTACATGGGGAGAATCCTAGTTAGACTAGATCTTCTCTCCTCCTTGCGGGGTATCCTGTGGGTCCCGCACCGACAAGCCCCCGAGCACTTCATGGTTGAGCTTTGGAAGCCTCGTCTTATTCTTTCAGGCTTTGCCGAGCAGGAATAAGCGTCGTCCGAGTGCTTTCTTGAGCAAAACCGTGTAGCGCTCTGTGAGATCTTCGCGTGGAGTGTACCTTTTTGAAGAAAAAAGTATTCCCCTTTGGGTGTAGCCCCCGAGCCTCTTGCTATTTGGAACAAGGAGCTGGAGGGTCTTGTCTTGAAATCGCTCTGATCCTTCGTTGAAATGTTCCTGAGCATGTGCCCGGGTTCTTTATCAAAAAGAACTCGGATATAGCTCGGTTCAGCTTCTTTTGTTCATGATTCCTTGAAGTAGTTTTGTCTTGAAGAAGTCTTCTTGGTGACGTGCGCTTTTTCAAAAAAAAGTGCACTCACTGAGTGTAGCCCCCGAGCCTCTTGCTATTTAGAATAAGGAGCTAGAGGGTCTTGAATCTTATGTTGTTTTAAAATTGCTGACTTGAAGAAGTCTTTCGAATGATGTGCGTTTTTTGAAGAAAAAGTGCACTCACTGAGTGTAGCCCCCGAGCCTCTTGCTGTTTGGAACAAAGAGTTGGAGGGTCTTGAGTCTGATTTTTTCGAGGAACTAAAATCTTCTCCTGTTGTAGCCTCTGAGCATTTATCTGGGTTATTTGATTCTAAAAGAACTCGGACGCATTGTTCTTGGCGTATTCTCTGGTAGTCTGCTGTTTGTCAGGTGTAGTTGTATGGTGGTGGTTGAGTGTAAATGTTGCTTGTTCACGGGTTGTACAGTGTTGGCATATTCTTCCGAATATGCTCGTCTTCGAGTACTGTTCCTTCTGAGTCTTCCATTATTGAGTCCTGTCTTTTCACTGTGTCCTTTGAAAGGCTTGTTTCGTTGGTACTCCTGGTCCATGTGCGCCGCTCCTTCGATCTATAAATACCCTCCCGTGGTGCTTGCTTTCATCCATTGAACATTTTGTTGAAAACTTCGTAGTCATGAATATGGTAGTTTGTGAGGTAGAGCAGCCCCCGGACGTATCTTGTAGTTCCTGTGTGTCTTGTTGTAGCTGGAGGAAGTCTTGTGATAGGGATTAGAGGTAGACTAATCCCACAGCGGCATTGTACTTGGAAGTACGTGGTGGTAGTTGGAGGAAGTCTTGTGATGTGGGCTTCGTTCCTTCATCCGGCAGTTCTGGGTTGATCCTCGCCGTCTGTCTTGAGACTGTCCGGTGCAGATCAACACCTGATCCTGCATCACGTTGGGCTTGGGTAGACAGATGCTTGCCGACTTCCCCTGGTCTATGTTGTCCCACTGTGCTGCTGATTTCCGCCTTGGATGCACTACGTCCGTCCTTTGAAGAAAACAGTGTAGCCGATCGCGGTTTGTTCTACCGAGTAGCAATTTGGAGCACGTAGTCGTTTCAGAGCCTAGTTGTGTCCGGGCTTCTTTTTGCTACTTTGCTTGTCGTAGTGCCGAGTTCATTGGGTCTTGTAAGATGTGTAATCTTCTATTTTTGAAGCCATTTGTAATGGAAAGAATCTTGTCTTCAGAGTTGTCATTCATTTTTCTATTGTAATCCTAGTTATTCATGAGACTCTGAGTTCTTTCTTTAATAACCGGTTCTTTTGTTCCTTGCGAGGTAGCCCTTTGTTTCTTCATGGTTGATGGGTTGTTCTTGTAGTGATCTCGATAACCCCGCCGTGGTCTTTGGATGGATAAGTCTAAATCATCTGTTAATTAAATCTGTTGTTGTGTGGATTTGTGCCGTCATCATTTAGGCTGTGTTTTAAATGGACCGTTGCATTCCCACACCGTGTTTTAATGCCTGACCTTTTATCGAAAAATCTATTTAAAGACCTTTTATCTTTTTTTTTTCTTTATTGCCTAGCTCTTGCCTAAACCCTAGCTTTTAAATTACTTGCGCCGTCATTGTCGCCAATCACCCGAGCACCGCTTATCCTAGCTTCATCTTCCCCAGTGCCTTTTTGCTTCTGCTAGTTCATGGGTAAGAAGAAAACCACGAGCAAGTCCCAGGCAGCCTTCGTGGACGAGAAGTCATCCCTTTCTTTGATCGAGAACCAAGAGTTCGTGGCCATGAGGGCTGCTCAGAAGGTTTGGCCGGCTCCAACAACAACTGAAGACCAGCTCCGCGAGCTCGTCAATGACGGCTTGATCCAAAGCAAAGACATTGCTAAATGGAGAGTTCCGGGCGAGCACCGGGTTCCTGCTCCAGGTCCTGGTGAGATTGTCCTTTTCGTTTACTTTATCCGCGTCGGTCTTTGCCTTCCTGCTTCCGCCTTCCTTCATTAATTTCTTGGTTATTTTGGGGTTAATCTGAACCATCTAACCCCTAATGCCGTCCTCCATCTTTCTGTTTTCGCTCATCTCTGTGAAGCTTTCCTTGGAATTCCTCCTTCTCTTTCTCTTTTCCGCCACTTCTTTCGTTTGAAGCCTCAACCCCGCCGTGAAGAAACCAATGTTCTTGGCGGCTGTGGGATCCAGTTTCGCCATGGTCTTAAAAGAAAGTTCTTTGACTATGACCTGGTTGATTCTGTGAGGGATTGGCGTGCTGATTGGTTCTATGCTGCCAATTTGATTCCTTCTCTTTCCATACATTCTGGGTCTAGTCCCTCGGTTAATGACCGGTGGGAAAAGAACTCCCTGACACCAAACGAGCTCCAGGTGATCTAGCCATTCCTTGAGCGGATACGCACTCTAAAGCAGCAGGGCTTGACCGGCTTTAGTATTGTCTTGAGCTTTCTTCGTCGCCGTGTTCAGCCTCTGAAGGAGCGAGAGAACCTTGGCTTCGAGTATTCTGGGGCTGAGGATCCTTCCCGCATGGTCCCGGCCCTTGAGCTGACCGACGAGGAGGTACTTGAGCGTCTCCAGAAGATGCTGAAAGGAGCAAGCGTTGTCCCGCTTACTGTCTCCGAGTACTCCGCCAACAACCCGCCTCCAGCTGTGAGTCGTTTTTCCTTCGTGCGGGTATTTTCTATATTTCTTTTGCTGTATCCGTTTTTGCTTAATTTTCCTTGTCTTGTTGTTTTATTCTTTTCATAGGAATTAGGGCGCAATTTTGTTGACCCGATCCCCCTAGATGTCCTCCCTGCCGTGGTGAGTACTGGGGAGAACCTTGCTGGGTCTTCTGTAACCAGTAAGCTCCAAATCACCACAGTGTTTCCTGGAGTTTCCTCTAGATTTGTTGATGTATATGAAGAATATGTTCCTCGTCCAATCCCTCGAGGTCCTCGTAGTGTCCCGAAGAGTGGGCGGGCGGATGGTTCTTCATCTGGTTTACCTGCTTCCAAGAAGTCTCACCAGCCGAGTACTCATCTAGGTACTCCAGTTATAGGTAGCGTGCTCCTAGGTGAGCATATTAATATGTTTGGTCTTTCTGTTATTTATTTATGCCGCTGACCGAGTTCTTTTCTCTCTGTTTTCAGATGGAGCTATAGCTGTCTTGCTGGAGACTGAGGAGGATGAGGTCGATGATGTGCCCCTCATTACGCCGGTGAGTTGTTTACTTGTCTTTGTTTTGTTGAGCGCCTTTTCTTGTTCTGACTTCGTCTTGGCTTTTTGTAGCAGGCGGTCATTGGGCTCGAGTTCCTCTGGGGCTCCGACGCCAAGTTCCTCTGGGGTTCTAGTTTGGGTTCCTCTGGGGCTCCGGTACCAGCCATGCCGCTCCTATCATAGGGTGGCGGTGATGTTTTTGCTGCCGTCGTTCCCCTTGTGAGGTCTTCTTTGTGTTTTACGAAGAAGAAGATAGTCGGGTGAGTGACTTCTGGTTTCGTCTCTTTGCTTCTGTTTCCCCTTTCTTTTGTTCTTATTGCCGAGTTTCTTTGTCAACTTTTAGGCCTTCATCTTCTCTCGACCCTCCGTCGACTTCTTGCCATTCTTCTGGTGTGCCTCTGAGTACCGAGCCTCAGGACTTGGACCGCACGGTCGGCGAAGTAGTTGTGGGGGAGACAAGGTTTCCTGGTGATGATGCTGCTGCTGGCTTGGTTGCCTCAGAGGTGACCGTGGCCATGGTGGTGGATTCATCT